GCATGTGGTGCTGGGGGATTGAACCGCGGTCCCTGATGCTTTTGCTAAGCTTGTTCTAAGTAGGTGCTTTAGACCACTGAGCCATCTCTCCAGCCCCATTTTGTCATTATTTAATCATCATTGAGTTCATCTTTTTAATACTCGTAAGTATGTAAATAATTATGTCTGACATTGTAGTCCAAGTAACTTTAGTCATTCACCTCTAGGTATGTCAGTGTGACTGTCCATGTTAGGTGACATGCTCTTCAAATGGATCCTGTGATTCCGAGGAGGGAGGGGTAAAAAGCCACTATGGGTAGAATCTGCTTATTTCCATGTGGGATAGGAGATCTGGGGAAAGTGGGGTTTTATTCTATAGAAAACTCTTAATTAAATAATAGGGCCTACTCTGCCTTTGCCCCAGGGTTCTCCAAGCAATACGATTGGCCGGACGCCCTCTCGACATCCCAGCAGCAGGACTAGCCCTCTGACCTCACCCACCAACTGTTCCCATGGCGGGCTGTCTCCAAGGTAAGCTCACTTCCAAAGACATGAAAAAACTGAACTTCCCAGTGTGCAGCCTGTTTCTAGATCTTTAGACCCCACCTGCTACCAATAAAGAATATGGCTTCTAGTCCTACTCCAGCTATAACTGTAATCTTGGGCGAAAGGGTTATGTGGGAAAGTGGAGTGGTCTGTGCTCAGTTTTCTCTGTGCTTCTAGTTCTAAACACTTTGTAGTGTCTTCTAAGTCTCACAATGAAGGAAGTTCTTTTTTTTTGGCGGAACCAGGGATTGAACTCAGGTCCTTGCGCTTGCCAGGCGGGCGCTTACTCTACTGAGCCATCTCCCCGGCCTCAAGTCTCAAAATGAGAAGTCAACATTTTTTCATAAAATCCATGGAAGAACTAAGTTTTCTTCTCCCAGTGTTGGGAAAGCCTGAAGGTTTTTAATTATCTTCTAAGCGCTTAATAGTCTGCACCTGGGGGGCTGTGGAGGTGGCTCAGCAGACTAAGTGCTTCCCTGGCAAGTACAAGGGCCTGAGTTCAATCCCCAGTTCCACCAAAAAAAAAAAAAAAAAAAAGTCTGCACCAAGTTGTGAGTAATTTTCCTACCAACTGGCCATTCCAAGTATCTTACATTTGTCACAGAATTCTGCTCTGGAAGACTGTCATTTATAATGTCAGAATTTAAAAGAAAAAAGAAACTAGATCAGCATATTCAGACACTTGTTGGTACCATGCAACATTGGCCTTAGAGCATCTGGACAGTGACTTTAGGAGAGAAAATGCTAGAGAGCTGAGGTGGTGCCCACCTGTGGTTCTGGCCCTTGGGAAGCTGATTCAATAGCGTGGCTGAGTTTAAGGGCAGTTTGGGCTATATAGCAAGACCCTATCTCAAGAAAAGAAGAAAATGCTTTGTCTTGGGTGCTTTATAGCTTGCATAGTAACTCCCCCGGGATTGGAGTCACTCCTAATCCCATCCTAGAGTGGTGGCCATACAGGCCAGAATTTTTTGCAAGCCTGTATTTTGTCTACAAGATTTTCAGATCTTTGGGCTCATCAACAGTGACAGCCAGGATACTTTTGTCCTGTGGGTTGCTGACACAAAACTTTTTATGTGAAATGAAACAATTACCAAAAAGCCATATTCCCTTAAAGGGTTTAACCTCTTTCCCAGGAAGATGGCAAAACATAAGTGATATAGAGTCTCACTCCTTCCTTACTTCCCAAGTCTTGTTAGGTTCCTTAGTTATCGTGAATGTATTTTGGAATATCCCAAAGTTATATTTTATATTATATTTTTCCCTTAGTGAAACAAAATATTTTACAAGATGCCTGCGGTATCTCACTGTTCCTGTTGCCTTGTGCATTGGACAGATGTCCCCCCATCCCAGCAGTGTAGTGGAATGTGATGCTCACTCTCTGGATTTGATCAGTATTGTCATGACTTCAGCAGACTTCAGCTGTCATGACTTCTGCTATAAGTAGAAATAGAGTCCAGAAATCAGTGAAATTGGGTCTGACTGTCCCAACAGGTGATAGGATTTGGCCAACTTTTATTTTAAACGCTAGAGTCTCTATTAAAATATATGGTTTATCTTAAATGACCAGGATCCAGTGTTGATCACAAAATTGTATAGAAAACTGATGTTCTATACGGCTTGCTGCCTTTGTCTCGGTCATATTTCTGCAGTGTTCACTGGGAAATTGACTCCTCCATACACAGCTCATACATCTTTTAGTTATTGCATTGACTGGCACATTCTTTAGGTAATAAGCAAAAGTATTTTATTCTGTGTGCTACTAATCTAGGGTGGGAACTGCTATCAAATTCTGTCCATCAAAGAACTGACTAGAAATTAATCTTCATGGATCTCCAAATCATTAAAAATTTTAATTTATTTTTCCAGGTCACCATTTCTCTTAATTAGCCTCATCTTAATTTTTACTCGTAGGATTACAGATCAGTAGAAGAAATAAAAAGATTAACTTTCAGTATTAAAATGTCCAAGTGTGGTCTACATATTTTCTTATGGTCAAATTCCTCATTAGGGAATTAGTTCATTATGTAGGTTCTTTTACAAAAAAAAAAGTCCACATCCGTGCTGAATAATTTTAATGCTAAAGAGGTGACAAGTCTGCTGCACATAGTCCCAGCATTGTTTCTGAGTATTCTCTTGAGACATGAGCATGCAGTAATGACATTTTATGCTCAAGAGGGGACATTTTGGCCAATTACTATTTTTTAAACTAATGTTGAGTATCTAAGTGAGGAAGGTTGTTTCGTTTTGTTTTTGTCCAAATATTCTGCATTTGGATCATGGTGATAATAAGGAATTATTCCTAAATAATTAAACGAAACTAAATCTAATTTGATCTGGCAACTAAATCTAATTTGATAGATTTTTTTTTAAATCAGTAATGAGAACATTTTTTTTAAATCAGTGCAGTATTGTCAAAAATGTTAGCTTGACAACCCATTAATCATTTCTATGTAGGAGAAAAATAGCTACCTATTACCACCAACTAATAAACAAGCACTGCTTGGTATGTGGATAGGAGATTGAGCACATAGTTATATTGTAGCCCACTTTACCCAGTAATTTTAAGGTATATGAAAAGCTGAGCTATAGGCAATTTCAGAAATTTAGTTCGTTCCCATTGTGAAAACAGAGTGTCGAGGGGTCTCTACGCTCTGCCTTACGTTCTTGGTAGGCGCAGCGTTTGGGGCACTGTGTGCCTTCTCAGTGGGCCCTGGCAACAGAAAGTACTTTTGTGGGGACTTCACATTCCTTCTGTCACAAAGCCAGCCATACAAGTGCACACTTGTAAGCCTAGCACTGGGGAGGCTGACAGGAGAATCACAAGTTCGAGACAGCCTGGCCTGAGTAGTAAGTTCAAGGCCAGCCTGGACTATAAGGAAAAAAAGACAAAGTACATCCCTCCCATCAGGGAATCCATAGTGTGTAGAAGGACAACAAGGGTTAATAAAGACCCACAGTCAGTCGTGGTGTCTGCTCGGGCCTCACCTGTGAGCAGGTCCTCAGCTTGGGGTGTCGCACGATGCTTGAGCCCCCACCTAGCACAGACTGGAGAACGTCTCTAGGCTGTCCATGCCGTGAAGCCCCTTTGTCTCATTTCTGTACAAAACAGTGGTGTGGCAGTGCTGGGGACAGGGAGCAGCCGCGCGCAGAGGCGCCACTCAGGGCTCCAAGGGCGCCAGCAGGGCTGCTCACTGCCCATTCTCCTCTGCTTCTGCAGCCCCTCAGCTCCTGCGACTCCTTTCTCTCATTTTTTTTTTTTTTTTTTTTTTTTTTTTTTTTTTG